CTATTATAAATTGAAAAATATCCCATTACACGAACAATTCATTTTGCATAGCGTAAACATTTAAACAAGCAAAATTTTGTAGTAATTTAATTTAGTAGTAGAAAAAATTACTTATGCATAAATTAAATTCTAATCAAAAATTTTATAAAATATCCTTTTTATCATTCGATTTGTGAAAAATCGCAACAATTCTAAATTTTTATTGCAGTTTGTCGAATTTTTTTGAGGTGGCAAATTCGGTAAAATTTGTTATTATGTACAGCATATATGCTCATTTAAAACATATATTGCATATTTATTACAAACACCGTTATATTTTTGCAGTATGTATTACAGTTTTGCAGTAACTGTTTTGCAGCAATTGTTTTGCAGTATTGCGTTTACGAAAATATCTAATATTTACAATATTTTTATCAAATCACAAATTTGATAAAAGAACTTAGAAAAATTTAGAAAAGGAAATTTGACAAAGAATATTTGTAATTTCTTTTAAATTCTTCCTTAGCTTTCTTCAAATTAATTTTCAAAAATTTACGAAAAATTATGAAAATTAATTTATTCTTAAAAAAATCTTCATAGATAACTTTTTGCTTAACCAAAAACAGCATGCCAACCTGTACATCTATAAATACTCACACAATTTTGTTTCATAAATTTAATAAAACAACATAAAATTGTGAGGGAACGAAAATTTTTCTTAAGTTATAAAAAAAATTTTTAAATCTTGCAATTATTTTTCAATTCTTTTAATAAAAAATAATTAATATAGTCTGATGGCCATTAAAATTTCAAAGATTTGTTTTTGTATTATTAATTTTAAACGAACAAATTTTGACGAAAAAAAAAAAAAAATTTTAATACTTCAACATTTAATTGGTTCAAGTTCATAATGTCTCAATTCGAATTGTTTTTCTTAATTAAGTATAATATTCATATAACTACATGTATATACGCATGTACATAATGTATATATGTACAATATGCTTAAGTAATTAATGTTATTTAAATTTTTATGCATGTCGCCAAAAATTTTTAGTTCTTTTTTCTTCTCAAAAATCTCATAAAATTCTGACGAACTATATTTAGAATAACATATTTCCATAAAAATGTATGACTATAAGTAAAGAAATTTTAATACTTTTTGAGTTAACAAAAAAAATTTTGTGTAAACTATAAAGAAATTTTAACAACTACAATAATATTTCTTAATTTTTAAATTGAACAATATGAGGACATTGAAGTAAATAATATTTAATTTTAAACATTTTAATTTAATAAATTTTATTTTATTAAAAATTATGAACTTACAATGTGAATGACCATTAATTAAATGGTTTAATAATAATATAGACAGAGAAAGCATTTACAATTTTCAAAAAAGGAAAAAAATTTGAAAATAATTATTATGTTGGAAAAATTCTCATAGTAAACGTGTGTATATAAAAAATTATTTTGCATAATATTTGATTTCTCTAAAGGAAATTCGAACTTTGTTCAATTTTCATTCCAAAATTTCTCACCAAATTCAAAAATTAAAAAAAATTTATTTTCTAATAATTACACTTCTTGTTATTAATTTCTATATATAATGCAGAATATATTTTGAGTGATAAAGCTTAGCTATTTCCAAAAATAACTTTGAAAATTATAACACTATTTTATGTATAGATATATCTTGTTGTGATCGCAAACTATTACTCAATATTTACAAGTACATACATGTATAAGTAGACACAAAATATTGATTAAAAATTAAAATTGAAAACTTCACATTTTTATAAAAAAAAACTCCAAGAAAATTTAAAGACCGCGTTTATTAATTTTCATAAGTGCCATATAGATAAAATTAATCTCAACAATAATATTATAAAAATAAAAATTGCTTTATTAAAATTATTAAATTAAAAATAAAAATATTATAATTAATTTTCGATCGCCTACTTATCTGAACAATATCTCTGTAAATCAAAAATCTAGTAGTTAAATAAATGTTTTTAACGTCACCTTATGTAAAATGTATAATGTTTATTAATAACCAATTTTTTACAGTAATTTTTTATTTATTAATTCCAAGTGCATAAATCAGATGATTTGCTGCCCGATAACCGGTATATATACAGATAAGATTAAAGAATAATTTTAAAATATCAATAAGAAATTCATACGTACATATGTAAAAATTAATTTTATTTTTGGTATTCTTGAATTCTAAAAACAAATTTCATGGTTATGATGATAACAATTTAATGAGTGACGTCTTTGGCAACCGTAATGACGTACATTTTTACTTACAATTTTATTTATCTATATACTACTCAAATAGTATATAAACTTATTGCTCAATTCGATCGATATTTTATTTATGATTAAATATTTATAGTAGAAAATTAATCTAGTAAGACAAAATATTGTGATAAGCTAAATAAATTTTCCAAGAGCTACATACATACAATAAAAATGCTTATCTGAATATAAAATATATAGAATATCAACAATAATTAGAAAAATAATTAATTTAATATTATACAAATTGAAATAAACTATATATGCAGTTAGAAGAGTTACTGCAGTAAAATAATGGTAAATAAATTAAAAATTTTTTTTAAGAAAAATGAGTTTTTATATAAAATGAGAATAGATATAATAAATAAATGATTTTAAATGTCGGAAATTATTGGCATACAGTTTCATACAATTCATACAATTTCATACAGTTTTACTGAAAATGATAGGCACATTTCCAAATTTCTTTATTCAACATTTCAAGCTTCAATATACCCAATAAACACCTTTATAGCTTTAACAGTTTCTGGGCTATGAATAAACAGCTTATGAAATTGTGTGGCAGCTATCAGAAGCAGTTTAAAACCGCCTTAACAATATATTTGCTTGAGCAAATTTTCAAAACTATACGCTGAATAATTTCTGAGATATAATCAAATAAATTTTGAAGTTGTATGATAGATGCCCGTCAATCATTTGCGAAAATTTGGTGAGTTTAGTTCAATTATTTTTTGAATTATCACTGGGAAGGACAGACAGACATTAACAAGTCAATTTTTTAACTAAATTCTTCATTATATGGAAGATTTTCACAACGGCTTACTTTTAAAATTTTTTCGTATTTCAACGTTCCAATGATTATTGTTTCTCTACGTTGTTAAATTTTTCAAGTATAATTTTGTTAAATTAAATTTTTTTTTTTGTTAAATTTATGTCAATATGCTTGAACACAATCTCATTTACATATAAGACAACTTATGTTGCAATCACATCAGAAGAAGGATTATAAGATTTTGTCAAAATATTATAATGTCTTTCACTTTGTTTCCATCTTTATAGTAAAATTAAAGTGCAGTCAAATTCTTTGACTATATTTAAGCTTGTATAGAATATTTTAATAAATTTTTGTATTCGACAGAACTATCGTCTATTTAAACGTTCATATTCATGTCTATATATACATACACACGTATGAGTACATATAATTCAATAATATCATTCAGTTTTTTCAAAAATTGTACATTTTATGCAATATGTTAACACGTTTTCATTTCAAATTTAAATTCTTCATTCTTTTTAAGAATAAAAAATAAAAAACATGTGAATTTCTTTTCCTTTTTCACTTTTTTTACATTTTAATTCGATTATTTCAAATCAATAGTCTCAAAGAAAATGTGTTGGGAAAACAAAGAAAAACTAAAAATAAAAGTTTTAGAAGTTCATTATTTTGAAGTTCGGTTTTATTTTTCCTTGCTTTGTGAATGCAACTGGTGAAAATTTTACAATTCATTTATTCCCCTTTTTTCAATTTAACCTTATACGCCTTTACCTTACCGTATACTTTTGTAAAATGGCAATTTCATTTCAAAATTGCATGCAATAATTTAATCACGGAACTGTTAAAAAATAATAAAATTAAGTAGAATTTGCGAAAACAAACCTAAATGAATAAATATGAAAAGAAAACTGTACTAAATTTTGTAAAATGCAATCTGATTTTAATAAAAACTTTACAAAAGTTTTATCATCTGAACACCTACTTTAAAACAAATTCAAAAATTTCTTTCTATCATCCTTTCGATCGAAATTTCATTTGTTGTTTTTATGTTTTTAATTTTCCTCTAGCATGAAATAAGCGTACATATAACAACAATATATCGAAGAAGACAAGACTATAACAAGACATCAATAATAATAACTTGAACAAATAATATATTTTATTCATTCCCGCGTTTTTCACTCTCTACTTTCCTTATTTTTTTGCTACTCTTTATTTCTCCCCTTTTTTCCTGTTTTTTGCTGTTATAACTATTATGGTTTTTCTAACCAATAACTGTTGATATTTCCGTGTTCCTCTCTCTCTATATAGCAGTAAATTTAAATTAAATAAATGATCAACAATTATTTTTATTTTCCACAGCACAATAAAAAAAATCACTTGTCAATGTCACTTTTAAGTTAGTTATTAAAATAGCTGAAAGAAGAAAAACAACAACATTAAATTTTTGATATCGGCCTAACCATAATGACATTTTGTACAACAAAAAGAAAAGAAGAAATTGATGAATGATAACAATGGCGATGACATTTTTGAATGAGGTATTCAATAACGTGAGTAGGATGTAGAAAATTATAAACACGCCTATTTACACACATTTATATTTACATACAATCTGAGTATATAATGAATAATAATATATGTTTGATGTAGGTAAAAATATTTCATCGTACTCGAGAAAATTACAGTAAAATTGAACCAGAGGCGTAGTTTGAGTAGTAATTAGTCCTTTCTCAAAAAAAAAAGTTCATATACATGCGTAAGAAAAATTCATACCTCACAAATAAGAGTTTTCTGTTACAAACGCATCCAATGCCAAAAATTTAAAATTTTAAAAGTTTAATACTTCTGCTGGAGAAGTTATCGATGAGAAATAAGAATTCGTAATTTATTTAGAAGGAATAATAATTTTGTTCTTAAACAATAAACATGTACTTACTCGCTTTCGTTATTTTCAAAAACTAATTCTCCTTGTTGTGCCTCGTAATCCTTTCCAGCTTTTGCAGTACCATCTTCAGTCCAAAATGGTATTATTACTTTGCCTCTGGCACCGCTATAACGTTGCACTTTTAATTCATAAGTACCAACCGATTCGACTAGTTCATGATCTTTTGCTGCAAAAGCAAATATACCACCATGATCATCATCTAATATCATGACGGTTGCAACTTTCGGGGTAGCTAATATAGCCGGTTCCAAAACATTACTTAATCTAACATAAAAATGTTCATCTTGTTCAAACACTTCATCATCAATAACTTCAATTTTAAAACGTTGTTCATCCACACCAGGTGGAAAATTTAATGTACCCTTTTTACCAATATAATCTGAGCCAGCTTCAGCAGAACCATCTTCAGTTTCAAAATCAACAGTTATAAATTGTGATATATCACCACGTCTAACGACTCTTACTTCAAATTCACCACAACTTTCCATTACAGTATAATGACCTGGTTCAAAAAATACTTTACAAATTGTATCATCTTCATCAGCATGAACATCTTCACGTTTTTGTAATTCAGCTTTTACTTCACTTAAATCACTTTGAGCACGTTCTTGAATTTTTTTCATTATATTACCACTACCCATCATACGACGTGTAGCTTGAATTCGATAGAAAGCACGAGATTTAGGGCCTTTATTGATTAATTGTTCATGCGCCATCATTTCCAATTGCTCCAAATCACTTTGTGGATACTTTTTTCTTAAATCTTTTAACGTTGAAATGTATTCACGTCGAGCTTCTTCAAAATCTTTGACTTCTTCACTTGGTATTCCACCATTTTCTTCAAGTGCCTTTAATCCATCATCACGATTATTTAGTTCTAATACACCAATATCAGCACCTTCAGCACTAACAATAACACCACGTTTATTCATTCGATAATTTTTATCTAAATATTTATAAATTAATAAACGTCTATCAGCAATATATGCTGTTAATACTGTTGCTGGAAAAAACATAAATGTTAACATTCCTTCCCATACTTCAACACGTCCTGGTGAAATTTGTGATAAAATTAAATACAACCAAATATACGCAAACACAGACCATGTTGCTGTTACAAAAAATACACGTAAATGTTTTATTTTACGTACTTCACCATTTGGTATGACAACAATGCAAATAGCTATTATAACAAATAAATTATATGCAGCTGATCCAACAATTGTACCAGGTCCTAAATCACCAGCTTTAAAATTTTTTGCAAACATTTCAATAACTGATAATAAAATTTCAGGTGCACTAGATCCAAGTGCCATTAATGTTAAATTTGCCACAGTTTCATTCCATACACGTACAACAACAATTTGTGTTTCACCATTTGCTTTTTTAATAACAACTTCTTTTTCTTTTGACGTGATCACTTCAATCGCGGCCATAAAGCGATCGGATACAATTGAAACACCTATAAACAAATATATCATTGCAAAAAAATAAACAAGACCCCTTGATACACGATCGCCAACAGTTAAATTCTCTTGTGGCATCCATACTTGTAATAATAGACCCGGTTCACATTTTGCTTCTTTATCATGACGACTTTTAGCAGGACGACTACTACTTGATGAATCATCAATTGGTGATGATGGTGGATCATCATTATGTTCATTTGATAATTCACTATTTAATTCATTTGGTGAATTTGGTGAAGCGATAGGGACTGTGTTATTATTTGTTATAGCATTTGCAAATGTTGGTTGTATTAAATATAAATTTGATGGTAATAAGATGTGTAATAAACATGTTAGCAAAATTAATGTTGTCATGCTTGTAAAATTTTTTATAACTAATAATCTACAATGTGTTCCCATTGTGCTTTCGAATTTGATTTTCGATTTTTTTTTTATTGACAATTTCTAATCTAAAAATTCTTTTATAAAACTGTAATTTTTTCTTGTTTGGTATTTTTTTTTTTGTATTTTTTTTTTTTTTGGTTTTGGTTATTTTTAACTCTTAGGTTTTAATAATTATTCAAAGCTTTCTTTACAATTTTTTTTTGTTTTTTTTTTTTAAATCCAATATAGGCTTGAAGGTGCAATTTTAGGTTTCTATTTTCTAAATACAATCTCCTATAAAAAATAAGCAAAAAATCTGCAAAAATTTCTTTTTTTTTTGTTTTGTTTTTTGATGAATTCACAAAATTATTTCAATCAAAAATTTTTGTGAATTTCAGATTTTCAAAATTTCTTTTTGATCAATTGTGATGCAGGCAATTTCCAAAATTAAGTGATTAATATAAGTGTTTTCATTCGCTTTACCAGTTTGTTGTTATTTTGTTTGCGAATTACTGGCGTTTATACCCAAAATTTTTATATTTAATATTTTCAAAAATTCCAATTTAAAAACAAAAATTTGAAAAAAAAAAAAAATTTAAATTAAAAATAGTTTTTGTATTTGTTTTGGAATAAAATCAGCCCCTAGAGAAATACTAACATTTAAAAAAAAAGCATTTACTAAACAAAGAAATTTGAAAAAAAAAATTCGAATTCAAAATAAAAGGAAATTAAAGCAGAATTTCGAAATTTAATTAAATTCCAAAAAGTTCAAAAAAAAAAAAGAAAAAGTTATGTAAAGAAATGAAAATTTTACAAATTTATTTGTGGGATTCAGAAAAAATTTTCACTAGTTTTACCAAAATTTTCAAATTTGTTGTTTTTAGTTTTATAATAGTGAAAATGTTGATTTATTTTTGAAGCGTGTGTTATACAATAAAAATCAATTTTCGAAAGTAAGCATATGTGTTGTTTAACTATATTGTTTAAGTTTTTTTTTTTTTCCAAAAATTTCGTATATTCTTTTTTAATCTGCTTATAGTATTGATTTTAAATTGAATATAATGAATTTTTTATTATTTATATTATAAAGCATATACACATAATAATTATGTAAAATGTGCGAAATATTATTTAATGTTCTGCAATTTTAAACATTTAAGTAATAATTTTAAATATTTGTTTTGTTTTTTTTTCAATATTTACTTTAGAGTAATTTTATAATTTCGAAAAATCAAAGCAATATATATATACACACACACAAATATGTATATATATATGTATATAAAGCGTTTAAATAATGTGTATGCTTAAATTTTTTCTTTTAGATTATATAATATATATATATACAAAACAATGTTTGTAAAGTGTTTGTAAAGAAATGGCATAGGGATATAAAAGAGATATGCACCTAATGTTTGAACCCTCCAAAATTATACAAAAATATACGCAAAATGAATTTTGAAAAATAAAATTAAATAAAAATGAAAATTTAAAATAAAAATTTAAAATAAATAAGAATTAATTAAAAGTTATTCAAATCTCCTTGTGTTTTCTATCGAACTCCATATAATGAAATTTTTTTTTTTTATTTTCAATACAAGAAGTATATATAAGTTCGTGGTTTTTATGAAACTGTAGGTTATAGAATATAATTTGTTAGTGCTTTAAATTTTGATCTTCAGATTTCTGCTCAATTTTTATTCTTTAATAATTTTGATATGCATATAGATTTAAGGGAAAATTTATCCAATTTTTTTTTCTTTCTATCTGTTAAAATTATTATATAGTTTATTAAATTAAGATTTAATATTGCATTAAATTGTTAATTGCATGTAATTTTGTTTGAATTTTTTTAACTTTCTAAACATTTATTATAAATTAATTTGAAATTTATTTCGAATACAATATTTCGAATATAGAATAATATAGAATCTGTTTTTCTATTTTAAATTGTATATAAATAAATAATTTTTTTAATATTTATTTTATAAATATAGTCAATGTTGATACCTAATTTCTGTTTTTTTTATTATTTAAATTTTAATAATACAATTTATAAATTAAATGATGTTACTGTTAAAAGTATTAATGATGCTGAATTTGATTTTAATATTTTTAAAATATTTTAATGAAAAATTTTTTTATTATTTTTTTTTTTCATTAATTCTATAATATTTTTTGCAATTATTATTATTTTTATCCCAAGAATAAAGGTTCAAATATTCCATATTAAATTTCCAATACAATGTAAAAAAAAAATGCAACCCCTTTACTCTTTTCTCATTTACTACAATAATTTTATAAATTTTTTACTCCACAATTAATATGTTTTTAAAAATGTTATAAAATAATTATTTGACAAAAAAAAAATGCAACGATGCACAATAATTTTTATTGTTTTTTTTTTTTTTTTTAGTTTTTGTTTTTTAAATAGGGTAATATACAACAATGTAGCATAATATTAAAGAAAATAATAATAAATTTTCTTTTAATGAAGTTCGTCCAAATAATATGGTCAAAAATTTTGAAATTTTCCGGTGAGAAGAGAGATAATGAAAATTATTTTTTATTTCGTTGAAAAAGAGAATTCTTTTAAAAATTAGAAGATTCTTTTCTCTCCCGTGCTATTTATTTCTTGAATTTATTTTGTTAATGATTTAATTTTTTTTTTCTCTTTTATTTTTCTCTCTCTCTCTCTCTCTCCTTCTTACTCTCTTTTATATGAAAATAAATTTTAATGTGGTGTTGTGGTGGCAAGAAAAATAAAATTTTCCCATTTAATTTTCAACTCAAAATTGAATTTTTTTTGTTCTGTTCTCTTTTGATTTTTCTTATTTTTTGGTTAATTTTTTTATTTCTTAGTTTTTCATTTTCTTCAAGAGATTTTTTTTCCCCCAAAAATTTTTATAATAATAGAGTGAAGATGTATATGTACTATATGTAATTTGTATTCGGGTGGTGAATATAAGATTCCTTGCGTTTTTAGTTTGGCTAGACAGAGATATTTTAAGTTAATTTTAATATTAATTTTTTTCTTTCTTAATTTTTTATTAGCTTTTATTTTGCTGTTTTTTGCTGATGTCTCTTACGTTGGAATTGTCTGTAAAAAGTTCTATATTTTTTAATTTTTTATTATTATGTTTGTATTGTTTGTTTTTTGTTTTTTTATAGCTGACTTTTTAGTTTTACAGATTTCAATTATAAATTTTTAAATATAATTTTGTTTGAATCTTTTCGGTTCTGGTGTGTGTATAGAGTAAAACGAAGAGATTTTTCTGAAATTTATTTTTAATATAAATGTTTTTGTTTTTGTTTTTTTTTTTCTTTTTATATAAACTATAATATACACAATGTAGAATTATATGTTTGTATAGATAGTTTAGCTAGTACCCCGAAACACGAAACACACTTTACACAGTATTTTTGAAAAAAAAAAAAATTTTTTTTTTTTATTTCTTTTTTAACTTTTGTTATATTAATAAATTTTCATTTAAAATATTCGCTTATATTTTATTTTTATACACAGATACTTTTTTGTTTTTATATTTTTTTCGACAAGGTAAATTTTATGAGAGCTAGAGAAAATTTCAATAATCACTTTTTTTTTTCTTCAATTTATCTTATGTTATATATTTAGGAACACAGAAAAAAAAAATAATTTTTTTTTTTCATAACAAACAAAAAATAGAATAAGTAGGTATTTTTGAAAATTAGGATATTATTATATATATACTTTAAATATATTTGTATTTATTGTATATAATAAATTAAACTGAAATATTTTTAATATTTAGAAGACAAAAAATTTTTTTTTTTTTATTTTTTTTTAGTTAACAATATAAAGGAAATAATAAAATTAATGAAATTAATTACGAACTTTTATTGCAAAATTCTTTATTTTATTTTTTTTTTTTGATAAATTATCTAATTTTGCAATTTATATTTGCATATTTAAACACTATTTTCCACATATTTTTTCCCGTTTTGAACATTATACAAAAAATTATTAATAATTTTATTATATATACGAGTATATATATATATATATTTATATATGGGAAGAAGAAAATTTTTATTTTAATTTTCTTTTAAAATTTTAATTCTTTTGAAAACACTATAAAATTTTAAAAATAAAAATTCTAATATATTTAAGTTAAAAATAAATTAATTGAAAACCTTAATTATTTTATATTATATGTATGTATATATATTATATATTTTTGAATTTTATTTATAATTATTATAAAATTCACTTATGTTTTTAATATGAACTTATTTTTAATATTTTATGAACATTTATATCTGTATATATACTTATGTATGTAAGTATATATCATATATATATAATTATATTTTATACGTATTTAAATATATATATATATAAAAAGATCTTAGCACATATAAACACACTTATGTATGTATATATATATATATACTTTTTTAAATATTTAATGGTACATTTCAAAAAAAAAAAAAACAATAAAGGAATAAAAGAAAAAAAAAAATTTTTTTCTTTTTTATTTTAAATTTTTATTTTTTGAATTTTCTAATATTTTGTATATTTTCGGATTCTGTCACTTTTTGTTTTATGCTAAATATATGTATATGTTAGGTATGTAGGTATTTTCATTAGAATTTTTTTTTTTTAATTTATATAATTTCGATAATTAAATAATATGATTTTGAAAAACAAACAAAAAAAAAATAATAAATTTATTTTTTACAAAATTTATGAATTTAGAAAACTTTTCTTTTTTGTGAAATTTTCATAAACTGTGTGATACAACATTTTATTTTTATATACTAAAATCGTTATATTTTTATTTTTTCCTTGAATTCTACAAAAATATAAAAAAAATATAAAAATTTAATATTAATTTTAATCAGTAAAAATATTTAAATTAAAGTATAATATTATGTATATATATATGTATATATATATAGTTGTAAGTACATAGTACAAATTATTTTAATTTTATTTCCCTTAAAAATGAAAAACAAAATTAAAATTAAAATCAAAATCTTGAAAATAATTGAGAGGTTTTACGGTAAGCGACGAGGAATCAAGAAAAAAAAAAATATCTTTTTTTTCACAATTTTTATTTATTGGAAAATTTTCATTTTAATTTTTTTTTTATCATATTTTAATGTTATATTATTATATATCCGTATAAATATCTAGATAGTTTTTTGTTTCATTTTTAATTTTGAAATTAAAATTTTTTTAATAATAAATTATATAAAGATATATATTCTTATATACAATGTATTTTCCTATATTTATATATATATGTATATATATATATATATATATATATATACGTTATGTATGTACAAAAGTTATTCTAATAAATAGGCTATTGTATATATATATATATATATATATATATATATAGGTATACTATATAGAAAACCCAAAAAAAAAAAATATGAAAAAGAGAACCGAAATCGAATTTTAGACTCCCTTGTATATAAAAATAACGCTAGCACCGCGGCAATGTTGGATCACAACTGATTATTTTATACACACGAAAAATATTACTTCTTTCACATTTTCAAAATATAATAAGAATATTTTTTTTTTTTATTATAAAAGAATACTAGAAGAAGAAGAGAAAATTCAAAAACATAAAATAAAAAAAATAAATGTAGGGAAATAAAAAAAAAAATTATAAAAAAAGAAAAAAATGAAATGAAAATCAGAGAAAAATTAAAGAATTAAAAATAATGTGCAAAGAAAAAATAAAAATTAAAATATTATAAAAATTATAAGATAGTATAGGCATTTTTAATTTTTATTTATATTTTATATCATGCGAGATCTTGTATATATATATGTATACCGGAATATTAAAATTAAAGAATAAAACTAAATTCATTGTTCTTATACCTAAATATTTTCTTTTTGAAAAATTTCAAATAAAAGTAAATAATAAATTTAATTAAATAATAATTAAAATAAAAAAAAATTAAAAGTATGCACATGAATAAAATTTTAATTATCATTTATTTTGAACATATTATAAAATTATAAATAAATTTAATTTTTTTTTTAATTTATTTTTAATTTAAATATTGCTTTAATGTGTATATATGAAATTTAACATATAATTTAAAGTATATGATTTAGGAGAATTATAACACAATTGGAATATATAAATTATGAAACAACAATATTAATAATATTAAAGAGTAATTAAATTAAATTTGAATTTTATATGGGTTTTTAAATGTATTTTATATGAATAAGAATTGAATTATTTATATTTCGTCAAAAAATTCATATATAAGAATAATATTTGATCTAATCAAAGAGCATGAAAATTTAATTTAATTTTAAGAATGCATGAAGCTACTAAATTGTTAAATTTAATCCGAATTTAATAAAAATTGTATATATGTATGGAGTACGGTTTGACACTTGGATAACAAATAATAGAAATCAGTGTTCCAAATTGGTGACAATTAATTTCTTAAAGGAAATTTTTAACAGCGATAGATTGATTATAATGTTTGTTCCGAATTTTGACAAAAGATTTTGTTGACAGAAGATAGACAGCCCAAATCTAATTTTTTTGTGGATTTAATTTAAGATATTGTTGAGCCTATATTAAAAAATACCTAACATAAAACTCGTATATAATGCAGATTACTTAAAATTTTATTTTTATATACATATAGGTATATATGTATACCATTTTGAAGCTGATTAATAGGTAAAATATGTAGGTATATACATGTATGTGTGAATGAAATGCCGCTAGATATACTAGATAATTAATCAGCTGTGTTTTT